TCAGAAGCTGCTGCTTAGGAAGGGAAGCGCCACTGACAGGTTTACAAACGACCTTTTAAATACGTCTCGTGAGAAACCCTTGTGCAGGCTAACAACCTATTTTTCGGGTATAAGTATTATACCTAAATCATTAGGCCTGACTATACGTGCATTTATATCTATACCATTGTAAGTAAAACATTACACCCGGAGCTGCGCTTGCCAGTGAAGGTGGTCCTGGCCCTAAAGCACCAGCCAGCGGTTTCTGCAAGCAGTTTTGTAAATAAATGAAGAAAGGGGATGGTTCAGATATAAATAGATTATAAATACTCAAAAATTGGGCTGCCTGGAAGGCTGCGGGTGAAATGCAGCTGACAGAATGGAATAAGTTAGCGAGAAAATGAGCCTTGGAGTCCCAGTAAGCAGTCGTAAAAGCTCAGCAGGGTGACGAGCTGACAGGAGCAGATTTTATAGGTGTGACAGAAAAGCCTGGAAAACCTTCCAAATCTACTTTTTTTTTTTTTTTTTTTTGCTTTTTCTTTTTTTCTTCCTCCCCTTGTCTACATGTTTTGGAAACATCACATCTACCAGAAAAATAAGGGAGCGCAGCGGTACGGTGGTGCAGTCGAGCGGTGCTGGTTTAAGCTGCCCATATCCTGCTGCTTGTTCCCATGCTCCCTGTTTCGTGTCCCGCACGGTTGCCTGCGGGGCCAGGCAGTGACCTGTTCGGAGTTAAAAATAACAAGTATCTTTCTGTCTTTCGTGGTTATTGTCGTTGCTTTGAGCTGGAGCAGTTCGCTGGTTCGCTGCATGGCTCCGGCGTGCGCCCGCGCGGCCCGAAAAGGACTCCTGAAAAAGTTTCAAGAAACCACTGGCTGAGTCTTGGACACGCTCGAAGCCTCGCTGCCGCGGAAAAGCTTGCTCCGGGCTCTCCACAGCCTGCACCGTAGTCACATTCGCGGCAACCTGATATTATGTAAAACTGAAAACCTCTGCACAAATTACGTAACTCCTGTAAAAACCACGCTTTTATTCTGCTGTTGACTTGGTTGCAGAAAGCCTTAAAAGGGGAGACAACGCTAACGTGCTCGCCTCTAAGGAAACCAGCTCCTCAGAAAACAGCGCCGGAGAGCAGAGGCAGCGCGATGTCGGCTCTGCTGCGCCGGCACCTCGCCGCTGGCTGCGTTGCACCGTGACGGAGGGGGGACGAAATCGTGATTTGAAAGGACGAAGAAGAAAAAGAGCGGTGGGGCTTCAGTCGGTTTCGTAGGCAGCGCCTTGCGCAGCTAGCGAGGAGAGGGCACGGGCCCTGGCCGTGGGCACGCGCCGGCAGGAGATGAATAGCCTTTGCCCGTCTCCATTAATTTCCTGAGCAGCGCGGCGTGCTGGAAGAAGTTTCTGTGCGCGCCTGAACGGAAAGCTGTGCCATCCTGAAAGTCGCTCCGTTTTCTGGCGGTTGTCTTCATAGGTCACGGGAGAGGCCTAAACTTTGTGTTTTCTTTGCAGGCTCTCGCTCCCCCTCGTGTCTGCGGAGAGCTTTTGCAGCCTGTCATCTTGCCTCAAACTGCCTTTACCTTTCTGTTTTCACAGTGGAGCGTGCGCGCTTCGGAGGGCTGCCTAGCTTTCATGCTTCTGCTGCAACAGCTCGGGATCGGCCATTACATTTCACTCGGCTTTTCAGGGTAAAAGGGGCCAGTTTGGCAAGCCAAGTATTTCCGTGCAGTCCAGCGATGATTGCTAATTTTCATTCTCCAGTCAGGGCTTTATTCCTGTATTTCAGTGATTAGCTTTTAGTTCCCCAAAGCTTTATATTCCTCGAGGTTGGAGCCAGTTCCCTTCCCTGCTCTGAA